AAAGGTAGATTGTAAGAATCCAATATAAATATATTTAATAAGGCATCTTATATGATTTAATATCGATATTATTTTGCCCAATCCATATAAAGACATTTAATAAAGCACTATATAAAACTTGATATCTTTATATGATCTAAATTAAATCTTTATAAGGTTTTAATAAAAAACTGAATCTTTATTAAAATCTTATTATTATCTTATTAACTTTTAATAAAGGTTAAATTAAACTATATTAAAATTATATTAATTTTTTTTTCACGGGTATACATTTTGTTCCCTGAAATGCCACGAAATTTGCGTCCAACAATAAGTCTCCTCGCGTATTTCGACTTATTAAATTATCTCCCGCTGCGGCTTTCACGGAAGTTTCTAAAAAAGTTTTGAATATATTTATTAAAGCGTGAAAAAAAATATCAATTTATCGATTCCCTGTCCGGAACAATTCATTCCCCCCTGTCGCCGGGATTGGTAAGTTCTTTTTTCCTCGCCACGATTTATCGTAAGGCGCTTCTGAGGTCCTTTTAAGTCTCGTTTTTTGTTCTGATCTGTCTCTTATTGGCTCTGCCTTCTTTCCTGCTGCTTTTAGTCGCTTTTGAACTTCGCGTGAACATTATTGGTTAAATTGGACACAGCAGGGAACACGATTTTATTTTTCCTATAATAAAATATATTTGAATATCCATCATTGTTTCAGGTTATTGTTATTATATACGTCCGCATGTGCGTACGTCAAATATACGTTTGAAAAAGCTTCAAATTTTCTACAAACAATAAAACACAAAATCGCACTGGTAAAACTTGAAATATTAAAATGTAAAAACTTTAGTCTTGTTTGTACGCAAAGTTTTAATTTAATACAGAAAGTTTTGGTTTTAATGAACAATGTAAAGAAATTTATGATGCATTACATTTCATTAATAGAGTTTTTTAATTAGACGTTACAATCATTTTATAACTAAAATCAAATGAAATACTGTCGTTGCAACTTCTGCGTGTTTCTAATAACACAACTTGCTTACATGTTGTCTTACAATGATAGAATTAAGTTTTCAATATCATTAGACGCACATCATCGAATTGATTGCTTTCGGCACAAACTTCATCGTACTAATATCCTATACTAGATGAATATCGCGTTGAATTTATTTTATCGCCGATGGGAGATTAAATCTGTCCGTCTCAGTAATTGGTTTTAGTTAATGAGTTCTCGAAACTTTGCCGTCTGACATAATATTCGCTCGAATGTAATATTGTAACAATATCGGTAATTCACGTAGAATAATGAAGTTTTAATTAGAACTATTTTCGACAATTAATTCGCGGCAAATCATTCGCCATGAAACGGTGGAATTAAAGAAGTCTGTTGTGACGGATTGTAATCTAACCAGACCTGGAAAGAGAAATTACGGTTCTTTACGAGACCACACTACCGTTTTGATTTCAAATCACTTGATTGTATTAATTGGTATTAATACAATAATAAGTAATATAATCGATAATATAATAGAAAGATATGTTGAGTTGATATTACTCGTCTCTTTTACCATTTCTGTACGTAACATGGAGTATTGCTGTGAAAACATTGAAATTCAGACAAGTTGTCGGGTGAAAACGAACGTTATAAACCGTCGGGATCTCACGTGCTCATCCATGTGTTCCCGATTCTCTCGTAAATGGACAACACAGAACGACGAATGCTGAGAGGGCGAAAATCACGCGGGAA